TTACATTGCAGCTGTTGACATCCCCACTGCCACCTCCCCATGCCCACAGGTATGGGGGGAGGGCTTAGAGCAGGAGGGACTCTGCAGCCTGCACGCGGTTCCAGGTCCCTTCGCGGTGGCTGGCATGTGCTGAGACACTCAGTAAAACGCTTGAAAGGTGAAAGCAGGCTGCCCGGCTTAGTGGGAAACAAACCTGCTCAAGTGAGAAGACTTGGGATTGAGTTTCGGCCTTGGTGCTCATCATTTTTATGACCTTGAGAAGTCCGTGAAGTCCAGGACACGGAGTTACCGATGATTTGACTCCCCTGTGGCCACGGCTTACATTCAGCTGCTGTGGCCATGCCAATTATTAGAATATTAAACCACTCTCATGACAGCTGGTAAACAGTCTTCACCCAACCCCCTGGGTGCCACCTTAACTGCCTTTATCCCTCCCTTGGAGCCCCCAGATCTCCCCTTGATGGTAACCAAAGGGCGAATGGACCTCAGGAGGCCTCTAGAATGCTGCTTTGGTACCACCGCTGGTACCTGTTCTGATTAGTCCGCACACTCCGGTCTTATCTGCTGATGAATACTGTGAATCCACCCGTGTCTCTGCCATAGGGTTGGGGTGACACCCAATGACATAGTTCACACGAAAACACTTTGCAAACTGTAAAGGGCTGGATACATCGACCGTACCTGCTGTCCACGACCCCTGGGAAGGGACCAGAGCTGTTTGCAGAGGAGCCTGTTGCTCAGTGGCAGCTTATCCTCTCCTCAATCGAAGGTGGGGGAAGGACTTGGTTTGATATGTTCCAGAGCTTACTGAAAAGAGCCCACACAAAACTTCAGGTGGGTCCCAGGAGAGCAAAAAGGAGCGGTTCTCAAAAAGCATCCTTAAAAAGGCTTGTCTGAATTCCTCAGCGCAGCAACCTGGGATTCAATTTGCAGCTCTTTTAAGCACACACACACTGTTGGCTGTGCTCCCCCTGCCCAGCCCTATCACTCACAGCGAGAAGGCCATTTTAGATGCTCTTAGCTTTGCAGGTGTCTCTCTAGGTAGGACAAGAGCAGTGGGGGAGCGAAGGGCCAGGGGAGGAGAGCAGGCTCACTGGAAGGAGGGTTGGCATGATCTGGTATTTATGGAAAATTGGATGTGCTAATGAACCTGAGATCCATCAGGGCTTTCTGAAGGCAGGACAGTCTCTGTCAACAGACCAATTAGCACACAATTATTTTCCCTTTCTGAAAGCTTATCCGAGATGCTCTTTGAACATGTGCGCCTGAGTGAACGGCGCCTTCCATTACCTCTACGGTCCCTTTTTGTCATTTGCCAAAGCTGCTGCCTCTGCAGCAGGGAAAGCACAGCGTTCTCTGGACTCCCCCTCCAGAGACTCTGGGACTCTTCATCGCTTGGGGGAAGGGGTCTTCAGGCATCCGGCTTATCAAACCAGTGCCCAGGCAATATCTATAAGAGGACCCTCTCCAGGTCCTGTTTTCCTTCCCATCTCCTCATCTCTCTAAGAAGGACAGAGGTGGCTCAAAGCAGAATGGCAGTGGAGAGAGCCGTGACTTTGGGATCTAGCGTCATCTGAGTGAGCCTTCCTCATTCTCGGAGATCTCCTTCCCTCTACGGGAATGGGCATGGCGATCATAGCCTTTGTCTCTTCTTCATTCCTGTCCTCGTGCCACAATTGACAAAGGGAAGCTACCCACAGCCTCTCCATGACTGACCTAACTGATTGTCCTCTGGTGGAACTGACCTTCGGGAACAGCAAAGTCAAGGTCAGAAAACAGCATCAGAGCCAGCCCGAATGCTGCATAAGATGGTGCCGGTGGTGGGGAAGCAGCAGGACTGGTGGTATGCAGGGAGGGATTGTGGGGGGTAAAGGAGAGGAGAGTGGCTGTTCGCTGTTCTCCTCCTTGGCGGGTCATCCTGCTCTTCCATACGGCATGTAGCTCCCTCCCTGCCTGGACCTGCTGCTGGTGAGCAACCAACTCAGGCCTGGGCGGGAGGATGGCAAAGCCAGCGCAGAACTCCGTGACTGTGTGGTGGCCTGCTTACCCGGAGGCGGGGAAAGGCCAGTGGCCTAGATACCACCCCACCCACTATCTCACCCACCATTCCACCCTGCCCTTCCGTCCAGCCCACTCCAGAAGAGCTGGGCTAGTCCTCGGCCATGGCTCCTCTCACAGACATTTTCCCTGGAAGGAAGCCTGGCCCTGCCCTCCCACTGCAGGGTGACCGAGCGCCCATCACCCACTCACTCAGTACGGAGTCATTGTTCAGCAACCAGTGCCCACCTGTGCAGGGAGGCAGGCCCACGTGTAACGGCCCGAACGCTGGGGTTATAGAGACGTTTCTACTTGTCTCTAACCTCCTGATGGCGGTGACTGTTCCTTACTCGTGGTGAGTTCTGGCTGCTCCTTGCAGAGTTGTTAAGTGAATAAATGAGAGAGTGAAAGGAGGTGTGCATGAGTTGAATGAATCCTGGCCCTGCAGGTAACTAGATGTGTGACCCTGAATAAATCATTTCACCTGTCTGGCCAAGGTCTCCTCATCTGTAATATGAGGATACTGTGGTCTCAGGCCTGTACAATTTGTTTTGCCCGGTGTTCATATTCTGAAGAGAGGGCAGATCACTGAACTATTTTGGATGAACTGCTCTGTTTATACAGGAGTGATGTCATCCAGAGGGGTTTGACTCACTTTATTTTCTGCAGTCCTTTGACGCGCCCTCACAGGAGACAGGAGGAACACTGATGGGACTGAGGATTCAAACATTAAAATCCTGTTTTAGCTACTCACAGCTCCGCGGCCTCGGGCACCGTAACTCTCTGAACCTTGGTTTCCTTCTTCGGAGAGTGATAGTAGTGAGACTTGTCTCAGAGTTTCTGTGAAGGTTAAATGGGATGACATTGGAGGATGAACTTGCCACTGTAGAGAGGTCGTTCCTGCCCCTGTCATGCTCTTGGTCCCATTCTTTATTCGGGCTGGGTTTGGCTGCTTTTCGTGCACTGTCAACAGACCAATTAGCACACAATTATTTTCCCTTTCTGAAAGCTTACCGAGATGCTCTTTGAATGTGTGCGCCTGCGTGAACAGCACCTTCCATTACCTCTATGGGCCCTTTTTGTCATCTGCCAAAGCTGCCCCTTGGTCTTTGTAATCACCTCTTTTTCTTCTAATTCTCTCCTCCTTCCCCTCCATCCCTATTCATCCTTCATGGCTCATCTCCATGAAGCCTTCTCAGAATACCTTAAGTCACGAGGCTCTCTCCCGTCTCCCTACTCTATTTCCAGTCAGTGTCAAACCATACTTCATGTAATTGCTCTGTTCCATGACTATTTTTTAAGACTAAAAGTCCTAAATTCTCTTTAAAAATGTCATTTCTACTTTGCTCTTCACCTGGTGACTTCCCGCTGGTAACCTGCAGGGTGCTGGACCTTTTCACTCCACACGCTCAAGCCTGTGTGTTCTAGCTCACACTGCCCCTTGTCCTTGTTCTCAGAGTACCTTCCTTCCCTTCTCTTCCTGCCCGCTTCTACTTCTCTTTATTATTTATCTATTTCATTTTACTTTTTATTCTATTTTAATTCCAGTATACTTAACATGCAGTGTTATATTACTTCCAGGCGTACAATATAGTGATTCAATAAGACGTCTACTTATCTTGAAGGACCAGCTCAGTTGAACCTCCTGTGCTGCTGCTTCCCCTGTGTTCCCTTTGTTTAGGGCTCTGTTTGCCTCAGTGCGCGTTGACACCTGGCTTCTGCTCGGCTTGGATGCATCTCTGCCAGTTGCATATGCACCTGCCTTCCCCACAGGGTGCAATTTTCTGGAGGACACAGCACGTAACTTGCGCATCTCTCCGCTCACCTCTCCACCCCCCAAAGCCGGGGACATATTACACATGCTCTAAGTTATTGAGTGTCTACTATGTGCCAGGCACTGCATTCATCTTTGTTGACAACATGGTGAACAAAATAAATATGAGCCTAGTCCCGTGGAACCTTTAGTGTGTGGAGGACCTAGAATTGAACCACATCTTTACAGAAAAGGATGGAAAACTGCAACTTTTATGCCTGCTGCAGAGCAGAGGTGCCTGGAACCAGGAGAGAAGGTCAGAGGTATCAGGGCCGACTCCTTGAAGAACTCCAGGAAAGGTGCTCTATGAGTGTTTGATGAATTGTACGGAATTGGACAGTGGCTGCTCAATAAATACTCGTTGATTGGTTGATTGATTGTTGGCAAAGCTTTCGGAGATCCTGAGAAGAAGGGGCCGCGGGTCCCCATCATTCTTATTGGGGAATTATTTTAGTGCACTTAAAGCTCCCCATTTTTCATCTTATACTTTAAAAACATCAGGGAAAAACGGATAGGCCAACTTTATAATATTTTAAAATGATTCTGTGGTGTTTTGGAATATTACATGGCTATAAGAGTTTATGTATATTTAATATACATATTAAAATATGCAGTAAGCCCATGGCTGATTTTCTCTAAGGACGTCTCAGTGCCGAGGTGGGACTTAAATGTTTAATACTAATAATAATACTCATAACTCATATTTCTCTAGTGCTTTTCATCTTCGGGATCCCTAAAGCCTGCGAGCACCACGTCGAGTGGATGCAGCTGGGCTCGCCAGCTGGCTGACAGCGCCCACATCTGGCCTCCTGTCTCCCTCTGTGGGAGGAGAAGGGGGGCACTCAGGCTTAGAGGTCCAGCTTCCTCTGCCTACGTTGAAGTGTCTCTTCCCAGAGGCGAATTCCCTCCGGCTCCCTCGGAAAGCCTCGCACTGTGTACAACCTGCCACTAGTCACCCTCCACCACCGACCACTCACTGTGTTAGAACAAGGGGAAGGGGGGCTTCATGCCCCCGGGGAAGGGAGACACATGCGCTCTTGGGCTGGTCAAGGACAGGACACGGGGCCTGAGATCGGAGGGCTGGAGAGGGAAGTGCCTAGGGATGGTCTCCACTTGGTAGCTAAATCCACACCGTGCCCTTCTTCTCCAGGTCACGGAGACCAGGACCGGCCCTCTGGGCTGCAGCAACTATGACAACTTGGACTCGGTCAGCTCTGTCCTGGTACAGAGTCCGGAGAACAAAGTGCAGTTGCTCGGTAAGCCGTCCTGTGATGGGATGGGTTGTCAATACCTTTCACACCTGCTGAGAAGCTTGTATCACCGAGGAGCAGGAAAAAGTCCGGGGTGCCTCATTTGGCTAAACCCTTCGGAAGACCAGAACCACCAGGAGTTCTGGGACCTGTATGGAACAACTTTCCCTCATTCTTCTGGGAAATTTTCTGACATGGTTCATCCTGCCCCCAAGACCATTGTTCATACCACTTGACACCCATACCCTCCCACGTGGTAGTCCTTCCCAAGACCCCTGTCACTATCCTACAGCAATACCACATCCATACCTTGCCCTAGTTTGATGATCTCCTTTGTTGCCCAAAGAACCCTCCGCTTTGTCCTAAGGACACACTGGAGAACAGCTAGCCTTTGCAGAGTGGTTATGGGGCCACCACCTCTAGCTCAGCTGAGAGCTTTACAAACTCTGGGGTCACTGGTTACCCTGAGAGTGGTCCCTACTTTCTGTGATTAGTCTGTCATCTCCCATGGGAGATCAAAGCCAGGAGAACAGTTTGCGAGGAACGGGAGCCCCCACTGGAGACAGAACTGGACAAAACAGGCTCGCTAACAGGAAAGCAAAAAGCCGGGGGCGGCACGAGGCCTGGAGGCTGGGAGGTTCGGGGGAGGCGCTCAGCTCCTACTGCCTGTCCCCCACGCATCCTGGGCCAGGGCTATGCGAACTGATTCAGACAGGGCTGTTTGGCAATGGGAAAAGTTCATTTTTCTTAAGGCCTAACTGAATTGGACTCTGTTTAACATATTATTGTCTTGGTATTATAAAATCAATAGCCCTCACCCAGGATCCACGATTACAAATTCCAGGCAACCTGAGCCAGATGCAGCCCATCAGCGCTTTCGGAATCTAAGGAATATATAATAAAAAGGAGTAAAAGACTCCTTTCTTTAGAGCCCCCTTATGCAATCAGCATCCCTCTTCTCCTGTGTCCCTCGATAGGCTGGGTTTGTGTCTGGAAATTAGCGATGAGTGAAGTTCGGAATGTCTGGTGGTTCATTTGGAATAGTTTATGCCATTTAATTTTATAGCCCATCACTCATGCAGACATTGCTCGGGGCACTTATTTTATAGCAATGGGAAATGTTATGGTGAGGAGGAGGGAGGGAATGGGGGAGGTGAAGAGAAAGGACTTGGAAGGGTGTGTGTCGAAAGCAAGTGTGTGGACAGGGTGTGTGGGGTGGGCTGCTCAAGTGCCAACTATGGGCACAACATCAAGAAAGGAGAATTTAAGAGCAGTGCAGAATAGGAGGCGGCTCTCAAACAAGAACAGTGGACATCCACTGCTACTGTAGTTCTGAGTTAGGTTCTGAGGTCTGCTGAGACTGGGATACATACTTCATGCTCTCTGATTTCCCGCCAAGGATAAGGTCAAGGGTGTGACAATAAAGAGCTGGCAGATGTTTGAGGAGAGGGGAGCCCATGGTATCCAGAAGTTCTTCTGTCCCTCACTCTCCTGGCACAGTCTCTCACAATGCCCCTACTGGGGGAGCCTCTTGCAGGTCTGACCTCGAACCTGGCCCAGGCTGCCTCCAAAGGCATGCCTGTCCTTCATTCATCTCTTGATATGCTTCCAACAGCCACCCTGTGTGGCTTGAAGCTGAATCGGGAGTATGTTCTGCTACTGGTAAACTAATATCCACCACAGATGGGTAGGAAAACTGAAGCTTGGAGCAATTTAGTGGATTATACCCAAGATCAGAGGCAGCTAATTAGAAAAGAGAGCTGAGAGCCATTCATACCTGCCCAGGCTTGACTGAACTTAGGATGCCTACCACCATCTAACTTTCAAATCTCCTTAAGAGTTAAAGCGTATCGAGACAGGCAGCTAGTCCCAGTGACACAGTATGACCCAGTGGTACCAGGGACAGGGTCTGACACCAAGCCAACCTCACTAGCACTGTGACTTGGGCAGGTCACTGTGGCCACTGGGCTCAGATTTCCTCACCTAGAGGAGCCTCAGTATGCCCAGGATGTTACTTGTGATCATATTTGCAGAGTACTTGGTGTGGTGCCTGGCTGCTCGTACCAGCAACACCTGTCCCACTTCCTAACCAGAGCAGCCTCCTTGGTCATCAGGGCTGGGGTGGGAGGCCCGGGAGGGGGATCAGCCTAACATCTTCGGATGTCTGCTGCTCAGCTCAGTGAAACCACAACCAGGATGGCACTCAGAAGCAGAGCGAAAAGCCCGCTGAGCCTTGATTCCTCCCCCATGAGGGCTGTAAGCTCTTCTTTTATCTGAAACATCTTCCCGTTTCTGTCCTAGAAATGCTGATGCATAGCCAATAAGGCCATGCATATGATACGTGTGCTTTCGATTTGGCTGATGTGAGGGGTTCGACTAAGCCTTGGGCTTTGATGCTCCTCATCTGCATTTTCAGATGCTCTCCCACCTGTCACGGCGGGGAGGGGGGCAGCGTAACCCTTTTTACCCACCCAGCTCCGTAGGGTCAGGCCCTGGGGTGACCAACCATTCTTGGGCCCAGAATGCACAAGTTTGCAGAACCCCAGCTGGGGATCCTGCAGCCTTGAGTGTGGGAAACCGAGTCCCCACTGGTCCTACTCCACAATTCCCTGACATGTCCTTCCCCTAGGCCTTCAGGTGCTGCTGCCTGAATACCTGCGTGAGCGCTTTGTGGCCGCGGCGCTCAGCTACATCACGTGCAGCTCCGAGGGCGAGCTTGTCTGCAGGGGGAATGACTGTTGGTGCAAGTGCAGCCTCACCTTCCCGGAATGCAACTGTCCCGACGCTGACATCCAGGCCATGGAGGACAGCCTGCTGCAGATCCAGGACTCTTGGGTGACCCACAACCGGCAGTTTGAGGAATCAGGTGAGCAGTCGGCTGGCCTACGTTTCCTCCCTAGCACTGGGGAATGGCCGGGAGGTGCAGGACTAGAATGTGGGAACTCAGCGTGGACCCTGGCTCGTCCACTTCCCGTCTCCGTGACCCCTAGCAGGTTATATCACCACCTCAACTCTTGAGTGGTTATCTTTTGTTGTCGATGCAAATAGACATAACCCCTACCAAAGAGATGTGTTTTAAGGACTTAATAAGTTCAGGTGAATATATTTAAGGGCGTAGGACTTGCCTGTGCACAGTGCCTGCACATACGGTGCACAAGAAATATTTGTTGAATGAATGAAGTACATAGAATAGTTCTAGGAGGCACCCAGTACATGCTGATTATGGCTTGTTGCGGGTATAACGAATATCAGTGTTACCTTGAGATCGAGATTCAGGACTTGGTTTTGAGTCCTTGTTCTGGGTATGCTTTGAACGTCTGTGTCCCCCAAAATTCATATGTTGAAAATATAGTGCCCAGGGAGGTGGGGCCTCTGGGAGGTGATAAGGGATTAGTGCTCTTATAAAAGAGGCCCCAGAAAGATCCCTCTCTGCTTCCGCCACATGAAGACACAGCCAAGAGTTAGCCCCACGTGGCCGGCAAGAGGGCCTTCACCAGAACCTGACCGTGCTTGGACTCCCAGCTTCTTGAACTGTGAGAAATAAATTGCTGTTTATCAGCCACCCAGTGTGTGGCATTTTCTGAGAGCAGCCTCCAAAGACTTAGACAAACTGTTACTGACCAGTTTTATGACCTCGTGTTAAGCATGCAGCTTCACAATACCCCCATTTCCTCATCTGTAAAAGAGGGAAAGTGATCATAATGGGTGGATGGAAGCCTCATGTGGGATAGTGTAGATAAATTAATGTATAAATAACTCCGGTACATTCATACATTTCAACACTAAATGAGTGTTGGGTAAAACAAAGCAAAATGAAAAAGCTTATGTATCATATGTACATATTATATCAATATAATACTATAATATGTATTAAATATAAGATGTATTTAGCACTATTTATATGATGCTTAAAAACATACTAGCCAGTACTTAATATTTTTACAGATAAATACGTTTGCAGAAAATGTGAAGAAATATATGATAATGATAAAACATCCAAGAGAGTGGTTACATTGATAGGGAGAGAGGTGGGAAGTTTAGGGCCTTTGACTATATATTTTCTTTGCCTTATTTCTCGAAAAACAAAACGAAACAGAACAAAAGACTGAAGCCAATATAGCAAAATGGCCAAATCTAGGTGGTGGGCACATAGGAGTTTATCCTGTTACTCCCTGTGCTCTTTTGTGAGCTTGACTGTTTTAGAAAAAGAAGTATGAGGGGTGACCTGGTGGCTCAGTCAGTTAAGCGTCTGACTCTTGATTTCGGCTCAGGTCATGACCTCAGGGTGGTGAGATCAAGCCCCATGTCGGGCTCTCTGCACTGGGCCTGGAGCCTGCTTGGGATTCTCTCTCTGCCTCTCTCTGTCTCTAAAAAAAAAAAAAAAAAAAAAAAAGAACTATGTACATGTTAGTTGTTAATGTCATCACTAGGTATGATTCTCTGACCACTGCGGAAGGGGGAGAGAGGGATGAATACCAGGTGCTTGAGAAATGAGAATGAGCTGGGGCCCCAGGCATTGTCATTTCAAGTCCCAGACATAGCAGTTAGTTGCGAAGAACACTGTGGTCCCTACAACCCCAGCTGCGCTGGAGTTGTGATGGTGGGACATGTTCAGTGCCGCTTCCTGTGGGACATGACGTCGGGCTCTCACCACCATGAGTTATTTACTGCTAATGAGTAAATGAGGGCTATCTGGCACCCCTGCCGGGAGACAGTGGCCACAGGTCCCAAGTAAAAGCAGGTCTGAGCATGAATTCAGCAAATATGCTGTGCCCAGGAAGCTCTGAGAACTCACACATGCAGTAGGCACCAAGAACCAGGGAGCATCTTGCTTCTGGATTAGCCATAGGAAAGAATGGGAATCTGCCAAGAGTTGAAGCTTGAAAGAGATGAAGCGTGTTCCAAAGTCCGAGAGAAGGATGTGGACGGGAGAGGCTGGGCTCAGGGGCTGGTAGTTTTCTAAGAAGCTTTCTGAGCTGGGCGCTCAGTCTCCCTGTGTCCACAGTACCCGCTGGGCACTCTTCCCTCGGTGGCTGCCCTACACCTTCCCCAGGGTGTCTGTGGTGTGACTGAAGAGGACTGAACTATGGTAGTTGCGAACGACGTATAAGGAGTTACAAAGGGACGAAGTAGCGCATCCCAAGGTCCTAGGCAAAAGCAGCCCCTCTGGCCTGCTTGGGCAGTGACAGAAATCGGGCTTGAAAATCAGAAGCCTATTAGGGACAGGAAAGAGAGAAAAGAATCCCAAAGCTATAGTTCATGGTATGTTAATTATTTTCCAAATAAAGCTGTTGAAAAAGAAATATATAAAAGGGCCTGGGAGAGGGGATGGGAAACCTCCTTCCTCGGGCAGGGACTCGCCAGGGCTGGCTGGGTCTGGAGGGTGCCCTCCTGCCCGCCCCCCCGCCCCCAGGGTCTGCATGACACCCTCTGAGCTCAGCTCTGTGTCCTTGCCCGCAGAGGAATTCCAGGCCCTGCTGAAAAGGCTGCCCGATGACAGGTTCCTCAACTCCACGGCCGTCTCCCAGTTCTGGGCCGTGGACACCAGCCTTCAGCACCGCTACCAGCAGCTGGGAACCAGCCTGAAACTGCTGTTCAAGAAGACCCATCGGATTGTCCGCCGGCTCTTCAACCTCTGCAAGCGTTGCCACCGGCAGCCTCGCTTCCGCCTGCCCAAGGAGAGGTGAGCTTCCCTGCCCCCGGGGCCCCGGGCTCAGCACCTTCCACCACAGTTGCTGAGGCTGGGGGGGCCCTCTATCCAACGAGGCAGATCCGGCCGCGAGGACCCACATGAGGCCTTTGAGATTCCCCTGCTGTCTGCACCCCCTTGTGTGTCCTGCTCAATTATGACTTGTGTCTGAAGTGAGAGAGAGGAAACAGAGAGAGGCTAATTTTACTTCTATATAAATTATGGTGGATTCCAATGTTATTCTAATACTACTCCAATTCTCACCCATTTCTATTTTAAGGCGTTTTTTTAGGAAAGAAAGGGGTGGAGTTGAAGCTCACACTCCAACTGTATACGGTGAGAATACACGCAGTGGGTTTCCTCAGACAAGTGACTGCTCTCAGTCACATAAGGGAAGGAAGGCAAGGCCCCGCTGCCTCGAGAGCAGAGCGGGGCTGTCCAGTCGGAGACACTCACTCATCCATCCTCTCGGGTGCCCATTGATTCAACAAGTGCACACTGCATATCCTAATTTTAAGCAGTGTATGTGTGTGTGTGTGGGGGGGGTATTTGTTCATTGAGAAGATCTAATAAATATACAGAAACATAAAAACTATAAAATTTTAACTATGTGGCAGCCACTTAAATTCATGTTCGTTCGTGGAACATAAATCAGAGGCATGGTCTAGTAAAAAGCAAGAGCCAGAAAGAAAAGCCGCCTTGGAGAAGGAAGTCTCGGCCAGATTGTGTGGGAGAGATGGCAGTGGTGCACTGAGGCGCGGAGCCTTGCAGGGCAGGGGAGCGGCCTCGCAACCCAGGGATGCGGCTCTCACTGAGGCACCGGCAAGAAGGGAAGCCTGAGTGGAGAGAGCTCAGACCAGCAGAGGCTCTTGAGAGGGGTTCCTTTTCGTTTTTTTTCCGACAAATCACTCTGCAGTGCTTACCTGGTTCCTGAGAATATGCTGACAAATCACACAGCATCCCTGCTCTCGTGGCACTTGTCAAGAAGTCACATAACCCGTAACCAATAATGTCCCATCCTGATCCTTGCTGTGGATTACAGAAAAACAGAGCAATACGACAGAGAGCGACTGGGTGGTTCTTTTGAGAAGGGTGTCACGGAAGACCTCTTTGAGGAGGTATCCGAGGGGCTGAGATGTAAATCTGAAGAGGGGGCCAGCCGTAGGAAATCCCTGTTCTTGGTGGCGGAGTGACAGAAGCAGAAAGAATAGAAAGGGCAGGGCCAGAGAAGTGGGAAAGAAACTGACGGGATGCTGGGAAGGGGGGCGTTCCAGTTGTCCAACAAACTTACCTAGAAGGCTGAAAACTACAGAAGGGGTTTTGATACAGAGGCTATGGGAAATCTTCTGTAGGCTGTGGAATAAGCGAAGGAGGTGGTACTGGCGAGGGATGAGGCTGGCTGCTGCCAGTGCAAGTTTGATGTCAAGTGTTTCTGGTGTCGATGCATCGGACGCTGAGCTCCGGGCCTGACTCAGTCATTCCAAAATGGTGCAGTGGGGGGTTTCCGTCATTCAGAGAGCTTGGGGCTTTTATCTTTCTCATTACCTTCCCTGCCTATTAGTCAATCTCCTCCTACCCTCAGGGGAGACGGCAATGTGCTTCCTCGGACTCGTTATTCATTTCTACCTCCCTTCCCGAAGGTCCTTGTCCTACTGGTGGAATCGAGTCCAGTCCCTCCTCTACTGCGGAGAAAGCACCTTCCCCGGCACCTTCCTGGAACAGAGCCACAGCTGCACCTGCCCCTACGACCAGTCCTCCTGCCAGGGCCCCATCCCGTGTGCCTTGGGGGAAGGGCCCGCCTGCGCCCACTGTGCCCTGGACAACAGCACGCGCTGTGGGGGCTGTAACCCAGGCTACGTGCTGGCCCAGGGGTTGTGCCGGCCAGAGGTGGCCGAGTCCCTGGAGAACTTTCTGGGGCTGGAGACAGACCTGCAGGACCTGGAACTGAAGTACTTGCTGCAGAAGCGGGACAGCCGCATCGAGGTGCACTCCATCTTCATCAGCAATGACATGCGCCTGGGCAGCTGGTTCGACCCTTCCTGGAGGAAGCGCATGCTGCTCACCCTCAAGAGCAACAAGTACAAGCCGGGGCTGGTGCATGTGATGCTGGCCCTGTCCCTGCAGATCTGCCTCACCAAGAACAGCACCCTGGAGCCTGTCATGGCCATCTACGTCAACCCATTTGGGGGCAGCCACTCTGAGAGCTGGTTCATGCCCGTGAGTGAGGGCAGCTTCCCCGACTGGGAGAGGACTAACGTGGACGCGGCCGCGCAGTGCCAAAACTGGACTATCACCTTGGGAAACAGGTGGAAGACCTTCTTTGAGACAGTCCATGTTTACCTCCGGAGCCGAATCAAGTCCCTGGATGATAGCTCCAACGAGACAATCTACTATGAGCCCCTAGAGATGACCGATCCCTCCAAGAACTTAGGATACATGAAAATCAACACCTTGCAGGTCTTTGGCTACAGCCTCCCCTTTGACCCGGATGCCATCCGGGACTTAATTCTCCAGTTAGACTACCCATACACTCAAGGTTCCCAGGACTCTGCCCTCTTGCAGCTCATAGAGCTTAGGGACCGGGTAAACCAGCTTTCTCCACCCGGCAAAGTCCGGCTTGACCTTTTCTCCTGCTTGCTGCGGCATCGGCTCAAGTTGGCCAACAATGAGGTGGGCAGGATCCAGTCCTCCCTGAGGGCTTTCAATTCCAAGCTGCCAAACCCCGTGGAGTATGAGACAGGCAAACTCTGTAGCTAATGGGGGCCCCGCTCCAGTGCTGGGCAGGGAGGTGGTCCAGGGTGACCCGTGAATCCAGGGTGCAGAGATCATCTGAGCCCTCACCTTAGTGCCAACAGGGTTCTCCCTTAAGACTTGCAGCACCCAGCAGATGGGACTTCAGCAGGCAGGAGAGAAAGAAACCGCCCCTGCACACGTGCACACAGTCACCATGTGCGTGCGCGTGCACACGCGTGCACACACATGCACACACTCTCTCACACAGGGAGGCTACAACTCAGCAGCCTCAAATCTGTAAAGTCGGTGCTTTCAAATGAATGCAGTCGAAGGAGAGGAGCTAAGGGAGAGATTAAGTAAAAGAACCAGCCAAACCATGAGAAACTAAATCCTGAAAAGTGATTCTTATCATTCAAGAAAGCAAGAGGAGGCTTCTGTAGGAACAGAAGCAGCTCTTCCTCCCCCTCCGTGGAGTCACTTTTGTATTCTTTTTAACCCAATTTCTTAAAATGGCGTTGTTTCGTGATGCCCCACGTTGGTTCTTACTTTTTGTATGCTGCCTCGGCTGCGCCCTCCCAGACACTGCTTCGCAAGCCGGCTCCCCCGAGAAACTCAAGGTGACACCGACAGAGGACCGTAAGGGCAGGCAGACAGGCTTGCTCTGCGCCCCACCCCGCCCTCCCTCCGGCCCCCTTGCTTCCTCAGCCTCCCCACTTTGCTCCATGTTCCCCTCATGGTCCAGCCGGGGCTTCTCTTGCAACAGCACCCATGCTGTCCAAGAAAGCAGCTCTGTCAAGTTAGAAAGAGACAATGTATAGGAAAATGTTCTTTTTTAAAAACAAAACAAAACAAAAATATTTATTTTGTGATTGTTTTCTTTGTCAATCTGCTCCAGCCACATGAACATATGAGTAAAAGTTTACCTGGTTTAATATATTTTCTTAAAAGGCCTTTTTTAGGGGAAAAATGAGAGAGAAAAAGAGGGGGGAGAAAAGTATAGCTCCCTGGGCTGCCTGGATTTTTTTTTTTTTTTAATTGCTCTTTGTGTGATACATGGGCATTCATGGATGGTGGATACTGCTGTGGGGGGGCGCTGATTAGTGTATGCTTTCACAAGTGAATGATGTCTGGCTAGACGTGTGTGTGTGTGTGTGTGTGTGTGTGTGTGTGTGCGCGCGCCTGTGTGTATGTGGGAGTTGTTCAATGAGGAACGGAGTGAGGCGGAACTCTCCCAGAGTTACCTGGCTGCCCACCCCACCCCCGCCCCTTTCCCCAGGCATGAGAACTAACACAGGTCCTACAACCAGGATTTCCCACTATCAGGAGAGTAGCGTCAAAGTCCCTGCTCACAACGGGAACTGCAGGCTTTGTGCTGGGCAAATGCCTGCTAACTGGGGGCTCCTTTTTGCCGACGCTGCTGCGGACATCAGGAGAGTTTCCCATACGCTCTGATTACCACTTTTGCAGCCTAAAAAGCAGGTTGAACATATACCACACAGAATAAGGCATCATTCTCACCATAGTGCCTCCCTTGGGTGGTCTGAGGAGCATTTCATGGCAAATCTCTTGGAGAACCACTTCCCTGTGTATTCTCCACAGGCTCCGAGTACAATGCAGAGGCATGATGACCCCCATTTTCTTCAGGCAGAAGTCACCACATACATACTAAGTATTCCATTCCCAACCCAGGCTATATCTCAGCCGGTACAAAATGAACTGGGAGACAGAAAGGATGGTCATGTCTATGTGCCCAAGAGCCTTCTATGTTTATTGTTGCCTAGAGAAGAATTCAGCATCCTATTTAATCATGGCACCATATTTCAACCCACAAGGACCTGAAATCCTTGGTAGATAAGCAGCCTCCAGCATTTCTTTCTTCACAATTCCCCTGAAGCCTTCTAGGGTAGAAATCCAGAGTGATGGGAGGATCTAGGGGTGGACACAGGTGGTGGCTGTCTATTTCTACTCAGCCACTGCTTGCTTTGGAGAATTTATACCAAGTCACTCATCTGTGGAGGATGGCACCAGCAGACATCATCTTCATCAGTAGGGTATTGATGTGCCAGAGGAGTGTGCTGTTGTGGGGAAGGGGGTTGCAAGAGGTAGGAGGGTGTTGATAACTTTCCAGTGATGGGGTTTGAGAGGTGTAAGATAGATATCAGAGTCTGAGTTTAGCACTGACTCTGCATGTCTACATGCTGTAGGATTGGGTAAGCACAGGCTCTCACCCATGAATTAAAGGCACAGCATGCACAACAACATTCAGAGTGAGGAGGAAAGCAATTGAGACGGTGATGTGCACAAAGTCAGCAGCGTACACCTTCAGTGGCATATAGATAATTGCCCTGGCGAGAACTGAGTCAGTATGTGAGGGCTCGCATCTTACCTGGGTCGGTGCCACAGTGGAGGGGCGGGAAACCTCGGTTGTCAAAGTCTCTGACTCAGACCAGACTGGGGGAAGAAGCATGCCTATAGAGTTGTGCTTCTTATCTTAAGGAGGGTGTTGTGTCTTCTTATCGCAGACTCCTTGTCTTAGGAAGGCTCTGGGAAGATGATAGTGTGATGTATTAAGGCTTTAGAAATACATGCACCCAGTTACAAAGATTTTCACTTCTTGCCTGCTCGAAGGCTTAAACCACAAAGCTGAGTGTATCAAGTCCATTTAAAAGCACTATTACATATTAGTAAATATTTAGGAGTGCCCTTGTGAGCCCAGAGGCAAGTACCATATTGATAGAAGGCCTAAAAGACATTATTAATTAATCACAGTAGAAGAAATGTTTATATTTGACCTACTCATCTGTTATTTGTGATGGATGCCTGACTCCTCTGTTCTAAGACAGTGATGGGGTGTCTGGTATCCCAGAGCTTAGGTCAAAGTAACAGACCAAAGATTTTGCTCCTGGAAAGCAGGTGAGAGAAGGGAGGGGTTGGGGATGGAGTAAAGGATGGGCAGGCAAGATTCCTTAAGAGGTTTTTAAAGGCTTGAAACCATGGATTCAGCATTGAGTTTCTCAGAAAGCTAGGCTAAGAAATGCCACAATGTGAAATGGCTGTCCCTAGTCAAAATTGTCACCTTGAAAGTCTATAATAAATCAGAAGATGTGAACAACCTATACTTATACGCAGTTGAAAATAAAGAATTGTCATTAATTAATTAGTACTGGGCTGTCAATGTTGGTGAACTCAGTGTAGAATTAAGAGCCAAATCACAGTTCAGTTATTGGATATAACAATCAGGAATCCAAGCCTTAATTGTAACCCCAAAGAACTAATACATCAAATGCTAATCTGCCCTAATGCTCGAGACTAATACCTCTAATACTAATAACACATTTAATACCCCATGCTAATAATATAATGCTATGCTCTGCAAGCATATTCATGCATCCACAGTCAAAAAAAATAAATAAATGAAGATCTCTTCAAATACAGGGAATCACAAAAAGTTCATATCCAATTCTTGGCTTCTTTTCACAAATATGAAAAGAGTCATCATGATGGGCAGAGCTGCCTTATGAGTAGATGGAATATATTGCCTCCACAATGTCCTGCACCAAAATATCACCTCCAAAGCCTGTGATTTCATTGTGTGGGTCTGTTCTCTTGCCTATAGGGGAGATCTTTTTTTTTTTTTTTGCCCTTATATTTTGTATGAAAATTAAAATGCCCTTTGGAAGAAATAAGTCTTAGAAGTCAACCCACTGGCAAAATCGAGGATTAGATTTTTGGAGCTGGAAGGTTTTTAGAGGCCATCTCGTCTACCAGTTTCTGACATGAGGGAGAAGAGGTTAGAGAACTTGCCTGAGGTTGTATCTATCAGCAGGGGAGGAAGAGCAGTCTTCCTTCCCTACCTCTCTCTGCCAGAGAATGACAGCTGGGACCTGGGAGCTGACAGAGACCCAATTTCAGGGCTCAGGAGTATGAGGGTGGGGAAGGGAAGACACATTTCTGGGAAGGAGAAGAAGACTTCCAAGAGGTAGGAGTATCCTCCCATCTTTTCCTGGGAGTGGATCTAGCAAAAGTAATCAGCTGTTGTAACAACTGAAAGGTAAAGGCTGAAGTCTCTCCCCCGAGAAGCTTTAAGCACGGAGCAGACATGTTTCCATCTAGGCTGGGGATAGAGGGGTCAGTTTGCTGGTTTCCTGATAACTCTATCAGCTCAATGGCTTGTAATTACAATATCTTGCCTCCAGTTGCTTATTGTTTTCTCTACCACCAATTAGTTTGAATACCGATACAAATCTGGTAACTTCTGCAAACCATCTTTGTTGTGAAGGCTAGAGATGTCTGGGTACTAACAACATGCAAAGGCTGTAGGCTGCACAGTCCCTAAGGCAAATATATGACCTAGAGCTAGGGCCCTGGCAGAGAATAGTAACAAGGCAATACTCTGCTGTGCACTAAGAGTGCTTGCTCCATCCAGCAGTAGAGCGAGAATACAGACCAAACGGGCCACTGAGACCCACAATTTGTCCCTGGTCTGGAAGGGATAGGTTGAAAACTTCAGGTTATGTGACTGGCTATAGACACACCCCCTTTTATTGGTTTCTTGTTCTGCATCTGCCACCAGCCAGCTCTGTAACTGTGAGCCGGTCAATCCACTTCTCTGGGCCCCAGTGTGCTCCCCTGTGGACAAGGGAACTGGATTTCTTACGCAGATATTAGGGGTCTTTCCACTGCTATCCTTTTATGCCGTTCAAGGCAGTGTGGCACAGGGACAGCATAGGCCATTAAGTCAGACAGAACTGAATTTGCATGTTGGCTCCGCACTTGTATTTAAGAGATCTTAATTCTTGATTTATCCCCTTATCTGTAACCCAAAAGCTTCATCCCCTAAGATTTCCCTAAGATTTTCTTTCCTTTCTCTTTCTGAACACTCAGCCTCTCTGCATAATTTTGCCCAATCCTTCCCAACTTCCCTAAAACTCAATCCCATTTCTTTCTTCTTTCCCTCCTCCCTCCCTCCTTCTTCCCTCCCTCCTTCTGTCACTCCATCCTTCCCCCCCTCTTCTTTTGGTAAG